GTGACCAGTTGGGTTAGAACCTGCTCCGACGCCACCGAGGCTCATTAATTGTCATCAGTAGTATATTCCTGAGGGGCAAAAATGCCCAGTGGGACCTATACAAGCACTAAATTATACCTGAACCCCTCAGATTGTCTATATTTTCAATACCAATTTCCCGATTTAAGAAAACAAATCTACATGAAAAAATAACGAGACAAGGAGCTTTGTGTTATATTATTTCAAATCAGATAAAAACGTGTTAGATAATAATAGCTTGATAAAAGTTATTATCTTGTTAAAAATAACCCCGGCACTATCCCTTACGGGTTAACAATATCTCAGTACAAGTTGTTTATTACAACACTGGTGTGAAACAGCAGACGACAAAAAGTAATTTGTTTTAGACTTTCTGATTTAGGTTTAAAATGATATTATACCCATAAATGGCCCAAACATAAGGCACAAAAATGTTGATCGCTTAACGGTTGATTTACGAGAAATTCCAGAAATGAAATTTCGACTAAATAATGATCAAATAGATAACAACAGATATTCAACACATTCCGTTACTTAAAGATACAATATGGAAGTGTTTTGTAAAAGTTTATTAAAGTGGCAAATCGGATCATAATCCAATAACTGTCGCAGGCTAGCTAGACATCGAGGGTTGATTATGGACTGGATAAGTTAATTAATGTCTAATTAATAATTTAGATAACATTTCAGACCTAAAGAAAGACCTGCAATTGTCTGCAATAGGCAGACTTAGCTCTTGCATAATGTATGCTTAATTACCTTTCGTTTAGTGCTTATTATAGTTAACCAGCCCATTCATTTGGAATTGCAAATAGTATTTGTCATTTATTTACACATGAAGTTGCTGATTTTTTGTTTGACATTTCGGACAGATTCTTAACATTTCCTCAAAAAATTGACCTTAGAGATCCAATCCAATTGACAGATGGCAGAAATATGTTTGCAATATATTATACATTGATGGTATGATTGCTTAAATACAATGCTCCGGTTTCCTCCCACTGCTAACGACCCCTACGCGCAAGCGAATTATTGAAATAAAATTGAACCATGTGTTAGTCACAAAATGACCTAGTTTGTGTCGAGTGGACGTTAAAGCCCATTTCTCTCTCTCTCTCTTTAAATACAACGTCCATCTCATGTTAGGCGTGCTTTCTTATTTTAACCAAAGTGGTAAATAATGTAATGCCCTGAAGGCTCAATAAGTGGACCGCAGATGAGTGGTGAGACACATTTTAAGTGGTATCCCCGGCGCTGCCCATGTCAAAACTGCAGCAGAGTAGTCAACTCAGTTTGCAATGTATTTAAAGAAAATGCAACCTAATGATGTATTATTGAGAGATACAGCTTATATAGAGGACTCCATGGCCAATCTATATGCATCAATCTTACTGGTTAGGGTCTGTATGCAATTAACAATCTTGTCAAGCTTTCAATTCGTTCGCATCCGCGAGATGATGGTGATCAGATCAGAAAAGAGTTGAATAGGTTAGGACACGGGACAAAAACGAAAGTGGAACATTTAAAGATAACACTAGCGTTTTTTTTTCGTTTTTTTTTCCACCAGTGGTATTAAACTAGTGTATACACTGGTGTAAGCACTAGTGTTAAATTGAGAGCTCGGGCATAAACAAACCACCAGTTATACACCACTACAACACAACCTTAACACAAGCGTAACCAGGGACTTGAATTGACCCATTGTATATCGTATTATAATTGATAAGTCAAATAGTTACCTTTAAAAAAAAACACCCCCAAAAAACAAACTTATTTTATATCAGCTAACTAAGATCTTTTTCTTAAAATTTATCTATTTTTACAATATTCGACCACTGGTTACCCCTTTTTTATTTAAAAAAACAAACTTATTTTATATCAGCTAACTAAGATCTTTTTCTTATAATTTAGTTATTTTTACAATATTCGACCACCGTTTATAATTGGATAAAACTATTTACTTGATACACAGAATCATAAATACAGTCCCGATCCTTAAGGGAATATATCTTTAATAATTGCACATTGTATATTGTATTGTATCATATTTAATAGACTATGTTACGGGCCTATGATTTTATATACAAAACTTAACTATCTAATGTCTGTTTTTGGGATGACTTTTGACGATATAAGGATAGTATTGTTCTTTGAAATACAAAGATATTACACAGTTTCGTGCTCATTTTGAATAATAAGAGTAAACAGATTGTATTCAATGGTAACCATTGTATGTACCTGTGTAAGGTGTGTATGCAGGGGCGGATCTGTGTTAAATAACACTTTTGAATTCGATGGGGATTCTATTAGAACAACGTCGCTGTCCGAGCAGATTTTCCCTGGTGGCATATGCCTGTCTTCATAAGCACGTTTGGTGCAGAAAGATACGTTAAACCCCGTTTAAGTTCATTCCGTTTGCCTTCCTCTATACACTTTCTGAATTTTCTTGATATTTTGGTGTTGGACACAGTCGCGGTCGGTTTTGTTTTTATATTTTGCTTCTTTAAAGTTTCCTGTCAAAATCGTGCAGAACAGTTTTTATTGCACATCATGTATTTAGCATGTTTTGTTTTGTAAAGTTCCAGTGTCTGTGTTTTGTCAAAGTGACCTCTGGTTACTCCAAAATGACGATAGAGAAGATCATAACCAAGACTAAACCAAATGAAAATATGACACCAATTCTGAAAGAACTCCACTGGCTTCCAGTCCGTCAACGTATCAATTTTAAAATAATGTCTATTACGTATTCTGTTCTAAATGACGATTCTTCACCTCAATACCTTAGAGACCTTCTCAACACCAATAAACCCTGAAGATCCCCTCCATCACAATCAGACAACCTCTTAATTAAGCCTTTTTCAAAAACCTGTGATAGATCTTTCGCAGTCGGTAGTCCGAAGTTATGGAATTCAATATCAAACGAAACCAAGAGCGCAAATTTTATTTAAGGTTACATATTATTTTAATAACTATTTTTCTACATCATGCTAAAATATAGCCATAATAAGCTAATTAATATACATGTAACATCACCGATTTTATACTTCTTTTTTTTTTTTACAATAATCCCCAAACAATATGTTATTGTATTTCTAGTTATTATATCTATCTTATAGAACGTGTTGCTGTATTATATTACATTTATACACGAGTCAAAGCCGTTAGATTTAACCCACTTTTATATCATTCAGCTTGTCACTAAACATTTGCTTGGTATGTATGCTTGATACGTAACGCAATAGCCTGAATCTACGGGTTAAGTTGATACTGTTGATTTAAATTGCGTTTTTATATATAAACAAAATGAAGCCGGTGCAGGAAAGTAGGACGTTATACCCCATTCCACTTCATTTACTCTACTGGGCTAATGAAGACAGGCATACGCCATGCCGTGTGCTATGTGGGAAATTTTGACCGGACAGCTGCGCTATGGCCTACTCTTGTTTCGAATTCTAGCTGTCAAGGGTTCTTTGACGTGCACGTCAATGTGTGTTCATGTACGGGACCTCGGTTTTTCGAACGACTATACATGCGGATGGGACGAAAAACCGAGGTCAACTTAAACCAAAATTGGTATTTCTCACATGTACGGAATATTTGTTCCATCCAGATACGGACGACTATTTGTACGGATGGGACGAAAAACCGAGGAAGAAGTATAACCGGTTAAGTCGGAAAATAAGCTGCCTTTTAACTTCTTCCTAGTGAAAGGTGAAACTCCCCGATAATGTACATACGTTACAAGGAAGATTCTAACAAAATGAAGATTGCTTCAACGAGGCAAAATATATGCTTTTTCTTTCAAGAACACACACATACTACTTCCCATTTGAAGAATTCGCTTAGCTAACAAATTTCTGTTTTATTTTTAAACCTCTCTGATATTTTTCTAATGTTTAGTGAAAGGCGAGAATATCCGGGTCGTGCTCTCACTTTCAATTTGATAGGCTCTTTCCGCGAGATCATGATCGAGTAGTCACGTCAACAAGTTTGAATTGCTATTATACATTAAATACCTTTGTGTAGATATTAAAAACGTCCTTATGCAAACAAAACAAAGGACTATGTCAATAATTGCATGATCTCAAGAGATGGTTTTTAAAAAAGAAAAGCAAATAAAAAGAGCCCAAAAATTCGAGATTAGCATATGATTCAATTTTATATGTATATCAATAATTCGGAGTCTTTAGCTTTGGGAGGAAACGGGATCAACTGGAGAAAACCCACGAGGTTGGATGGGTGACCCTACTCATTGTCAAGTGCAAGTTGGAAAGCGAAATCACACCACTTGACTCAGTGACAGACCTTACGATCTAACGCTCACGCGTTAAGACATTGCCCCCACCCCCACCCTCTCCCGGAAATGAAATAGGGTCTACTTTTCTGTACTGACTGGGCTAATGAAGAAGGGCATACGCCATACAGTGTGCCACGAGGAAAATTTGTCCGGATAGCGCCGCTACGGCCTACTCTTTTTTCGAATTCCATCTGTCTGTGTTTTTTTTTCCTTGCAACCCAATGTGTACATGGGACATCGTGTTTTCGTCCCATCTAAACGAACGGACGACCGGATACTTTCTCTACCAACATGGACAGTAAACCCGAGGCATCCTGGCTAGCGAACTAGGGCTTTAAAAAATGAGCCACCACGGCTTTCTTTATATAAGCAGTCCGCGTGTCCAACATTTTTTATTGTGTTTTTTTAAAATTAAATATTAACTACTTATTTTGAACTAGAATTTAAAGGAGTCCGTCATCAAATATTTGCAACTACAAATTACATTTTATTTTGAAGCAAAATAAAGTCCGGTATTATCTCCCATTGAATGAGCTAAATTTAAATCCCTCGAAAGAAAGAACGCACTAGATCACATAAATAATACATACAATGCAATATATATCCGGGACTGTCGTAATTTGTTGATTTCATACTTGACTAGTATCTTCAATCTGTCAGCTCGGTATATTGCGTACTCGCAAATACAGACTATTTTGTACCAAAGAGGAATTTACGGATAATTATGAATATAAGGAAGTGTGTTAAAAACGTTCACGTTGATGTATTCATTGTGTTACTAGTATTGTTTAATACATATACAGTACAAGCAGCGTAAGTAATTGATTCCTTTATCATATTTTATTAAAGTAATTCGTAATCGTATTATTCATAATATCATTATTTACTGTTTGATTATAAATCATTGAAGATGCATTATGTAAGACTTAGATAAATATTTGGTCGTTCCTTGCTATAATAGTTTAAAATTAGTTAAAATACAGATGTGACGTCACCCTTTGATGTTGGCGTACCATTATTTCAAATAATCGTACGGGCAACTTGCCAATAGTACTTTATTCATACTAGTGAGATATTGGACTAGTGTGACGTAAAAGCTCGTGCGGAGTGTCTCGCTCTCGACCATTAAACAATACTTATATAACATTTGAAGTCAAAATAAATACCTGCAATAGACAGATTTATCCCATACACAATACAATATTAATAGAGAAATCCGAGAGTGTACTAAAGTAATAGTAAAGTTTAACGTTGAGAATTCTGAAAGAATAATTCTACCAGTTTACACAGGTCAAGTACAGCTGGAAAAAAGCAAATACACGTGTGTCTACGCTATACAGCAAGAATATATTACAACTTCAACTGTTTTATATACGAATATTATTGTATTTATTAGGGTTAACGATTTAATTAAGAATATACATGTAGGTAACATATCCCCAATTTATTAAGCATCTCCACAAGGACCCACTCCCTAATGGTCATTAACTGACAAACGTAAAACCATAAAAAATAACAGATATCCAATTGTTTACTTTTCTTTTGGTCAACGACGTCATTAACGATATCCTTTGTCACTCCACTCTACATCTAATGGTAGACATCACGAACATAACATTCAGAAATATCTTATCTTAGGCTATATGAGTTAAACAATACGAAATTATGCCGTCTACTTACACTTACACACAAAGATACTTAAACAATGTCAATAAGGTTACCAAGAAAAAGCCTCCAGCTAGGGTAAACCAGTCTGGCTGCTTGTCACGTATACACAGTCGGTATTATATTCACGACTGTCATTTATAGCAGATCTTATAGTCTGCTACATCTCCCATCCATCAGTAAGGCAATATTTTCAAATTGATCAGCTTTTTTGGATCCGTTAATAATCGCAACACAATTGTTTTAAAAATGAATATTGCTCTTTATGGTTATTTGGGTTATATATTTATGCACAGTTTCATGTAAAAATGCATAAACGTGTGGTGATACCTAAAATTTAATTTTATAGTATAAAGTATACTCTTAACCGCAAAAAGATAGCTTTTCGTTTTTGACAATATTTGACGCCTCGTTCGTTCATTCCATCAAATAGTTTTAATATACACTATAGTCCCAAATGGGTTGTGATGATGATTTTATAATTCCATCCCATACATTCTCGTGTTTTCTATTACTTTTTCATACAATAATATTATTATTATTATAGGTATTGTCGTATAAAACTTGTTTGCCCATCATCAGTGGGATGCAAAGCTATGGTTATCAACAATTACAGATAAATGTGCACCTAAGACCTTCCGCCCCGACGTGGATTTAGTTGGGTTGGGTGCCCCCACGCCCATGAGACCAAGCAAGCGCCCCCCCGCTAGACAAAGTCCCCTCAAACCCAGTCCCAAATTACATATTATCTGAAATTCTATTGCGACAGTTACATAAATATTATACGTAGCTGTCTGAAATTTTTTCACGCCGTTATATCACCATTCATCCAATCCTGATCTGTGGTCTTTTACTCCCTCATCGCTGTCATATTCACAGTTATAGTGAATCGCTCAGTTAGTAGTAGCACTAGTGAGTGGGTCGTGGGGGACTGTCACCTCTCACAAGGCGGAATTAAAATGCAGCCTCCGGATTATTTCGCAGATTATGTGAGGAAACAGACTGTATTAATTTTCTGTTAACAATCACAAAACAGGCGGAATCGACAGGCCGATCTCAAGATTCTGTCCAATTGTTTCCCATTTCTAATGCTCTCGTTCGCAAAAATTTGCTCCCATCAATGACCTCAAATGCCTCAAATTTTCAAAATTTTCTCAGAGTGAGAGCACCCCCCTTCCCCCGCGCCCTTCGGGTTGCACAGTGTCATGGTCACTTCTTTAAAATTGACAAAAATCGGTTACAATCATAATATGACATGACTACTTTTTCAACCAACTTGAATAAAACTGTTTTTCGGAGATCAGCGAAAAACCATATAAGCCATGCGATCTGTGTTCTATGGGCACGCTCAGGCAGTGTTATACTTATAGCCAGTATTTTGTTGACATTCATTGTGGGGTGGGATTGTTGATGGCGCCCTAGATTTGAATCCCCCCCCCCCCTATACGCAGCTTCTGGCGCCTGGGGAGATGACAAATGACTGGGTTTTGATCATCGGGAAAATTTGTCACTGGAGCTTTTCTGATGTTTCTATATTTGATTTGCAGTAGCCATGTTTGTACAAAACAGGAAGCCTACCAGCAAAGATACAAAACAAAATGTGGTAAGCTTAATTGGAGGCGATGCACAAGACATAGGTAAAGTATTGTGATGCTGATTCTCTTTTAGCTTAATTTATTGTACTAAGCATGTTTTATTACTTTCATGTAATCAGTAAGTCTTTTAAAATGTCTTATAGGACTAATTTTAAGAGTGGAAAATGATACTTCGTTAAATTTTAAAAGGCATTTTCTTTTTTCTTTTATTTTTGTTATAATTATCTCTTACTACAAAACGCGCACATAATATTTTCAACTGGAAAGAAGACTTACAATGTTAGGTTGTTAATATGTTTTATCTTGAAGACTACAATGTTGGGTTGTTAATATATATTTTCTAGAAGACAATGTTAGGCTGTTAATATGTATTTTCTAGAAGACTTACAATGTTGGGTTGTTAATATGTATTTTCTAGACGATTTAGAATGTGACGTTTTTAATATGTAATATATAGAAGACTTAAAAGGTTTTAAATAATATGTATTTTCGAGAAGACATACAAAGTTGTATTTTCGAGAAGACTTTCATTGTTACGTTGTTTATATGTATTTTCTAGAACAAGATATAGGGTGAAGAGCTATTGTTGCACTGGGTGGAGATCTGCTGGATCTGGATTAGCTTGTGATCATGGTAAATATATTTTCATTTTTATTCCACCTATTATTGTGTATGTTATAATCACAATAATATTTATTATATGGAACACAAAAACTATTTTAACTAAACACAACGTTAAGTGTACCCTAAACGTTATAAAGCAAATGATAGTAAGTATGTTGTTACGTCCAGTACATTACAATATGACATTATGGACAGGTTGATTTAAACATACATCATGCAAGAGTTAAATCGGCCAATTGCATATTTTTAGGACTGAAATGTTATCTAAATTATTATTTAGACATTAATTAACTTACACAGACCATCATCAATCATTAATTTTTTATAGTACCGACTTTAGTAATAAAGATCGAGGCTAGGCCCAAAATTCATTCGCTAAATACTCGGTTCCGGGTGGATCAATTTGACTGAAATTTTCAGCAAATTCCCTTTACATTATGTAGAACTACCAGCTCTTTATCTAATCTCCCATAATGTATTTTTAATTCAGTTGTTTATATATCAAGGCGTAATATAAAAATAAAAAAAGAAGACAATGGGTAAGAAGATAAAGTTCTTGTGTATTAAAATGGTACTTTAAAACATGTCGAGAAGGGGGGGGGGGGCATCTTCTCTGTTAGTTAAATTAAAGTTCTGGTGTCATCAGTGCGGACAGAAAAAGAAACATTCCTCACGGCAAAAGAAATCGCTTTGTTTTATGTGGAAACGCGAAGTTCTCGCAATAAAAAACAAATAGCTGGAGTCGTTGATTATTTACATAATAACTGTTCATGCGGTTATCTGCATGTAGTTAAACGTTTAAAATTGTATAGAGTCTTTAGTCCATTAGAGGTTTCCTAAATATAATATACAGAGAGTTTATATACACAAACAAGTAAAGCGTAATTAACAAATAGGGAAACCACTTAATGATATTGTATTCCATACAATGTTATTGTGTTTAGTACGTATTATATGGGGGGGGGGGGTAGCCGAATGGTCTAATGTGGGCGCTTAGATCATAAGCTCATAATGACCTAGTTTGTGTCGAGTGGACGTTAAACCCAATTTCTCTCTTAAATGAATATAATATGTTGAGTTGAGCAAAAGTTTAAAATTCGTCTTTTGGGAACGACACAGTTTTAAAATAAGCTATAAGAGCTGGGAGTGGGGGAGGGGGTAATTCATTTTGCTACCAAGTCCTCCAATCGTTCCTCTGAACATTGATGTATGTCACTATAAGCTGCGGGGTTGGGTGGCCGATTATCCAGTTTTGGATTAAATTATTAAATGGCAATAGTTTTTTTTAATCAATTACAAATCTAGAGACTTGATTATGTGCTTGCCATGTGAATATTATATGGCTAATGAATATCTCTCTCTCTCTCTCTCTCTCTCTCTCTCTTTCTCTCTCTCTCTCTCCCCCTCATATATATTTGATGAGGCCCTGAAGACGCTCGATACAGAGCAGGCAGCTAGCTTATAAATTAATGTATATCAGAATGTAGTAAAGTGGTTGATGTTTTTGAAATGGACTTATTTTTTATTTTATTTTATATATGTATTAAAGTAGATATAGTACAAGTAGCTGATATAGTACTATGTTTATGATAGATGAATACCCAAATAAATAAAACATACGTCTAGGTAACAAATTCACCACTTCATTTCATTCTGACATACACTAAATCATATAAGCTAGTTGTCTGTCCCCTATAGGCGTCTCCATATATTAATAATATATACAAGAAATTAAATTTGTAACCATACATAATACATTCGTGGAATAATAGATTTCCAAGGCAATGGATTATAATTAAAAACAAAACATTATAAAGTATATAATACATAATATGACATTAATTTACATAGACTTTCTGGTATAATGTGACAATTGTACAATACAGGAGTAATGAGATAAAATGATATTATTTATGAATAATCCCAAGACTGACGAAAAGTGCTTTAAAATGCTAAAATGTTATTAAACCAGTTTTGAAATCAGCCTGTGTCGGCATACAAAGTATATATATATATAGGCAGATTGAGCTCTTACATAAAGCATCTTTAAATATATATATAAAATTCAAGTATTAGAGAAAAAACGCTAAAAATTAAAATTTTGGCTAGTACTTTCATCGTTATCAAACGAATCGTCAGGCCATTTCTGACGATTCGTTTGATAACGATAAAATGGCCTGACGATTCGTTTGATAACGATGAAAGTACTAGCCAAAATTTTAATTCTTAGCGTTTTTTCTCTAATACTTGAATTTTACTTATATGTTTAACTGAGTGTTAGATCGTTTTATATATATGTTTTTCTATATAAATATATATAGGCAAATTTAGCTCTTACATAAAGCATCTTTAAACTGTATGTATTTTATATTCTAGCTATATGTAACGGCAAGATTGACCCACCAGCTTGTGATAACTATTTCTCCAACTCTCATATAATATATAGTGATGGAAGTATTCAAAAAAATGTATATGGTACATGTCCAAATCCTGAACGATGTAGCTGCCCAAAAGATGGTTTTTATTCGGCTGGCCCAACGTGTGAAAGTACGTATGCATAATGTTATATATATTTTTTTCAAATATATATTATGATTTATTAAATCTTATTTTTTTTTATTTTACAAACATGTTTTACAAAGAAGTCAGTATGGTTGACATTCTTAAAATCTAATCAAAATACATCAAGGGTGGGGGTGGGGGCACTGGCTCAGGTGCTCACTCACTGGGGGTTTCGGGTTCGCTCCTGGTGTAGGCCGAGATAATACCTCGGGATTTTCTGGTGTGGTTCTCCATTAGAAGTAATGCAGGACGGAGGGCCTGACAAGGATAGCTGTCCAGTAAAAGAACCCTTGACAGTTGGAATTTGATGTAACTGTAGTGTAGTGCCGCTGTCAAAAGCACACTGTATGGCGTTTGCCCGTTTTCTATAGCCCAGTGAGTCAAACCACATTTCGTTTCATTTCATTTAATAAGTGTTAAGTAACGCAATGGTGTTAGTTTGATCTGACCATGCAATTTAAAATTGAATTGACAAATCAACAAAGAGCATGTAATTTATCTTTATCAGAAAATTTGCTATTCTTATATACGAAAGCTTTACATTTTTTACCTACTTCTTTGTGCTATTTTTTTATTGCCAATAAATTAAATTATGTCCCTTAAATCAACACTTAAGAGCGAAAGATTAAGACTACGTTTAATTTATTATTCACACGATTGCTTTGATATTTATCAATATTAGACTAGAGTGAACACCTTTTGTATATTGACTTAGCTGGATATTTATTACCCCGTCTTTTCGAAGAAAGCAGAGGATACTAAAATGTGGTCGTCGCCCTGCCCGTCCGTTTCTCAAAACAATAATATTCTGCTTCTAATGTTGTAGCATGTTCAGAGTTCGATGATGCACATTATCTGCGTAGACTAATCACATATAAAGCATGTTGATTTGTCGATGCTCCGGAACACAATGACTTTGATTCTAATTAAGTGGACTCGTTTAAACTTTGTGTCTTGCGTCATTACATCAAAACTTTGATTAAGTTTGGTAGAGAGACCCGTTTTGGTTATGAGTGGGTGCGATTGGCTAATATTGGTGTATACGTGTATACAGCGTTGTCTGCCTAGACTAAACAGAAAAAGAAAATTCATCGAGACTTTGGAACACAATAACGCTGCTTCTAATTGAGATAAGGTGTCCAGATGTCTTGTAGTTGTTTAGTGGATGGGAAGGATCATTTGAAACCAACATACAATAATAATTAGCCATTAATAGTTTTTAAACTTTGTCATTAATGATATAATGTGATTTAGTAACTTATTTTCATTAAATTTTATAGTGTGCTCAGCTATTACAAATTGTGATCTGGAAACATGTACATCATCATCGAACCAGAGGTGCTCAAGATGTGAAGGAGTTCGAGATGAAAAACCCGGCTTTAGAGCTTATGTTGTTTCCAGTGATAAAAAACGCTGTACAAGTTAGTATTTAATCCATAGGTATCAATAATCTATTACATATGAAATCAAGAAATTGAGATTCTCTAGTGGCTGCATGTAACCCCGAGGTTATCGCCTACCCAGTGGTCTTCCGCTTTTGAAATTCAAGTACAAACCATTGCCACACAGTAAGTAATGATGGATGTCGTTCTTGGTGCAGACCATGCTTACGCTTTCTGGAACTTAATGATACATTTACGACTTCTTAAATTAAAAGTTCATATAGTTGACCAACTTTTGATGGGCGTGTATATCCAAGCCATTTTTGTAAAGCCAATCGCATTATTCTATTATTACAGAGGCGTGTTCCTGGCGATCTGACAGTACTCCATGTTATCCTGGAAGCTGTGCCAATGAACTGGCATCAAAGTGCACCTGTACATCAGGATTTACTGGCGCAAAATGCGAAAGAAGTAAGTGTAGAAATTGTATTGGCAAACGGTTTAAGATCTGTAATGAAATGAGATTAACCTCCTACTTTTCTACACCGACTGGACCAATGAAGACAGGCAATCGGTTGAAGACGAGGAAGTGTCATGCTGTATGAAATGAAATTGGATTTAACATCATTTTTTCTGCTCCATACTGGCTTACGAAGTTCTAAAATGATCTAGTTTAATTTTGTCGGCTGGTTAACAAGATCTAAATTTTATCGAATAGTCACACTGATTTGAAAATTAAAGGTTACAAACAAACTTCTCAAATTGTGCCATAATTGAATATATCGGTGTCGTGTGTATTAGTGAAGCGAAAATTGACGATTAAACCCGTGCTTTAAAAGATGTCCTATAACTCGGCATATTCTTTTATCTATTTATGATTGTAATTTGTGTTGTTTTATTTTATTTTATTCAGGTATGCATGCATGCAATCTGGTTAAAACATAGATCCTATTTCGTTTCATTTTTATAGTTCAAAATTTCGTTTTACTTGTCTTTACTACACTTGGATCTGGAAGACTTGTTATTTAAACGTGTTCTGCTTGAAATAAGGGGTCAGCCAATCAAATGGTCTGTCGAATCGAGTGTTTGACCTTTTTTGCCCGGAACTGTGGGTAATCCACTAGTAACATCAATGCTGATTGGTTAATCAAATGTCTGACGTCATAGGTGAAAAGTCGGTCTTTTGACCCCTGACGTGACCTATCGCTATAACTTGTCAGATCCTCATGTAGTGTAGGCCATCGAAAGTATAAAAAAACGAAACGAAATATAGATCTGTAATTTAATCAGATTGGCATGCATGTATCCTTGTACTGATCCCGAATTCTGTGTCGAATTTACTGAATAAAAATTACTATAAGCATAGACATTCTAATGCGTAAAATATTTGTTATTATGATCAATAATTGTTAGTACTTCGATTTGTATTGGTATGCACTCTAGCTAACTAGTAGTATAGTTGTTCATGGAACCGGAACTGGGTTAATTATATTCTCGTTATTCTTTAGCCCGAAGTTCCTCGAAAAAAAAAGTCTAAGGCTCCGCTAATTCAAGTATGATCGACATTAAACTTAGTATCCGTGTTCATTGGACAATTACGCATCATGGACAGACACGATGGATGTGTTGGCGTTTTGCACGGTTACTCTCAAGTCTACGTTTGTGTGGGTTTATGAAATATTGTTGTTATTCACACAAGTAGTGACACGTATCAGAATTAGTAACAGATTCAGAATGTGTTTGTCTGCGATATCATCTCAAGAACAACTGAACGAACAACCGAACATTCTGTGTTGTAAAATGGATCAGTTACTGGAAAATTTGCTTTTTATCAAAAAGTAATGTCAACTATTTGCTTTATAATTTTGTCAATTTATTTTTTTAGTAACCGAAAAGCCGTCAATTAAAGAGAATATACTAAGTCTGACAGCAGCTAATAATGGCGGTAAAACTGATGCACCAGGAAATACCAATGCTGGACCAGTTCAAGATACTGTATGGACTAATATGGTTAATCCTGTTAATATTCACTTTAGATTTACGGCGGATTACCAACCAGTTGTGCCTGCTCGACAGGCGTATGTCAAGGATTTTAAAGCTGGCATTATTAGTGCGAGTTTAAGCCTGGAAAAGGGTATATGTTTTTGTATTGTTTAGTTTTATGCAAATCCCACGCTACTGATTTTAATCCAACACATAAATGTCATTTCCTATACATTATTCGTTTGCTGACATACATGTACATATTAGTGTTATTAACCCTTTTACAGATCAGAAAATACAATATCTGAATAATCAAATCCAAAATCAGGGTCTGGCTCGTGTAGATATGATTTGATGTATCCTCGGCTCTTTTATTGATTAGAACCCGCTAAAATTATTAATAATGACAATAAAAAAGAAAAATACGAAAATATATTTTTAAAATACAATATGAATGTCATGAGTGATCTGCTACTTACGGATAGCCAATAAACACAGCCAAAATAAGACCATATATGTACACTTATTTATTTCCAGTGGGGTTCCTTAGTGGCAGATCAGACCATTTTATCCCTGGAGGGCAGGTTCGCGTTAAAAAACAGTACGTCTTCTTGCTTTTTACCTTCACATCAACAAGGACCGTGAAGTGGTGAAGGACCGAGGGCCCGGCAAGGGTCATCGTGTAGTCGTTCGGAAGGGACGAAAACCCGAATCGAGGTTCCGTTAACACATTGGCGTGCATGTAAAAGAACCTTGACAGTCCGGGCAAAAATTCCCATATATGGTGTATGCCCGTCTTCATTAGCCCAGTCGGAGCAGAAAAGCGAGTCAATGTCTTACCCACTGATCAATTGAAATCAGCTAGCATTTTTTAATGGCAGGTTGTGTTGCGCTTCCGTTTTAAAATGTTTTAGAATTAGATACCTTTCCCTATTACTAATATGAGTTCTGCTTTCAGATGTCAATCATACCCTTTCTCATCGTTGTGGCGGACCACAGAGTAGAAGTAATCCTAATCAGGGCGTGTTTACCTGTGAACAGACATTAACAGGCTTATCTCAGTTATCTCTACCATTTAATCACAAGGATGTGTAAGTTGTTTTTAAATAACATATTTACAAGGCGATAAAAAGTATTATTCGATGTTTTGTTGTTTTCTTATTTTATAAACAATAACATAATGTGTATTTTTATCAGTCACTATATCCTGAATATCTAGTCCTTTGTTGACCAGGCAGCACAGTTGTTAATCGGATCTCTGGGATACAGGAAAAGCCCATTTCCTGCCTTATGCTCTTAAGATCTTAGCGAAAGTCTTAAATCGCACAACACTTTCTATGTAACTGCATAATAGCTGGGTAGCCGGGAAGAGAGGGACGATTAAGGGTCTTATTCAAGGAAACCAGAACTAGTAATAAAGTAAAAATATACTGATAAAAACTGCATGGAATATATCGCGTTGTTGAATCTTATGAAAATAGTAGCGGATAAACATACAATATTAAGATGTAGTAATCTGGAAACAACAATAATTAGCAACAGTTAGTGGCACAGTTATGCCCCCTTTTTAATTCTGATAATAACAGCCATACATATTATTTCGTTTAAGATTTACATACAATAATCAGACTTAGTATTCCACAAAACAACTGTCAAAATTTGTTAGTTATACGCACAGTTATGCTCCTTTTTAAATTCAAGGAAGGTTTATTAATTTACACAGTTGACCGATATTTTTATACAGATATTAAACCCAATACTTGATATTCTGCAGTTAACACAAGCTGTTTTGTTTTGCTTAAAGTTTGCTATAATGTACATTTTAGACTCTCGTTTTCGATGTCAGTTGCCAATGGTGGATTTGTTAAGATTGAAAATAAGGAAACACGCTTGGTGGAAACTAAATATCTACAAGGATTGACTCAAACCAATACATTTTCTATAACATTTGACACTGTAGATCCATATCATTGTAAGCCCCAGTCAGGATGTTCTCTAGATATGCTCTCTGATGTAGACTTATCTAAACAGGTACATATATACTCTAGACCAATATTATTGTAAACCTCGATATTCACTATATATGCGGTCTGAAACATATATGGTTGCTGTTGACATATATTATTGATATCGTTTCTTCAGATATTATTTGAATTATAAAAACAAGTAGTTGTATACCATAAATCCATATTATTGTGAACGTTAATGACCTGCTGCTTTCTGGTGTTGATGTTCTGGACAGTATATTTATGTTAATGTAAACTTACAGGATGGTCTTAGACATGTAGCCAAACTGTCCTCAGTTACATGTTCTTTAGATATGCTGTCTGATGTATACTTGTCTAAACAGGTAGAAACGTACCCCAGTCACATGTCACTGTAATAGTCAACATTGGATTTAGACACTGCCTATTATTATCTACTCAATACTTTTTTGAAAAGTCATATCTACTACTACTACTACCTTAGTTCCTTAACGTCTACGACCACAAAAGTGATATCGCAGAGAAAGTTATATCTACAACTCTTATATGTTATACCCCATCTCGATACTGTCGTCGACTATTACAGCTCCAAATGCTCCGTTTACGGCAAATGCAATGGCACAACCCGATTCTGAATACTTTGGCGGGGCATAGGCAAGTTTTATTACCAAGCTAGTATTTCATGGGTAATCACTGGCGTTGTTCCTTTTTCGAAATTTAATATGAGTTCGAAATATTGGTTTGTGCTTAGTGTTAAACAAAGAGGTCAACGGAGTATATTAGCCAATAAAAGAATACACCATGTGTGAATAATCATACATTATTTATTGTGTAGCGTACCAAAAGCTTTTCTTGGGACGGTTGGATTGATGCAGATGCTGGGATTAAAGAATATTCATATGAACTGTTTGAACTTCATCCTGTTGGTAATGAACTTGGAGTCAAGGCTAGGAAGACGGGGTCAAGCACTACATCAGTAAGTATCAGACAATACTTACTATAACGAAACAATGCTTCCGGGATCAATGTAAAGCTCAGATGTACATGAGTATAAATAACATAATATTTTATAACCAGATGAACTGAATACTAAAATGTTCAGTTTCAAGAAGATATCGATGTATAAACACTTTATAATATGTTTGTCATTGTTAAAAATAAACATTTTATACTTACAGAAAAGTGTTGATGTTACCTTTAGCAAACCTGCCGTGTATTCCATGATTTTATCAGCCTATGATAAAGCTGGAAATTATAAGAAGGCTAGACGATTGGTTATATTTGATGATACATCTGCTGTAACAACGACGTCCGGGAGTGTGCTTAGAGTGACTACTGCTCTTTCTACTACCAATTACAAATGGCAGACTAATTTAAATTCTGTTACAATCAGTTGGACTAATAGATATATCAACACTATACATCATAATGGTCGTTTTCTAGCAGCAGTTAGATCAGAACCTGGTGTAGAGTCTCAATATGATGATAATTATGGGTCTAGAACAACTCAGGCAATTAGCAATGTACAAGGTAACCGTGGCTTAATTATGGGATATGGTTGTAGACTCTGAAACGTTTCTACCATTCCAATAAATTTTAAAGCAAGGAAAATGAAATAGTTTAGACCTACTATTACACTCGCTTAAAAAATGATTGTTCAATTTCTATTAACAGAGTGGTGTGATCTTTTCTTTGACATTTGATTATAGTATCCATTTATGTTGTAGGAATTGTTGGTATTAAAACCATATATAAAGTGGACCACGCTGGAGGAAGTTCGATTAACCAGCCTTCTCAAAATGAATTCGTAGATCTAGGACTTGATCAACAAGAGACAATAACACCAGTTCTGAAAGATGGCGATACTTTACGATATTTTATCAGAGCTTACGATATTTTATCTCAATACAAGGAAGAATCGTTGACCGTCCATTTTGATAGTTCACCACCTGTTATTGAAAATCTATGGTTAACAAAAGGTGATGAGGTTAATCTAGCAGTTCATGGTTTTGAGGAACTTGATAAAATGGTGTAAGTATTTGAATACTGGAACAATCATCCTGATATTAACGATATCTTCAACGTATGTCGCATATGTTAAAGGGCCAATCCCGATAATATTTTGGAGAATAAAACTGCTTAATTTTGTGTTAAAACCCCTCAAAATCCCGTACCTAAGGGCCGAGCAACTAATTCTATATTTGTGATATGTTTTCAAACAACTCACACCCGTCATCCGGAAACGGAGACCGGTGTCCCAATCTGTATTATGCGGTGTCTGGATAAAATGAGACTTTTATTTTATAAAAACAATGTGTAGGTGAAATTTACCTTTCGTTATCCAGTACGGCACATGGGCCATTCACTGTATAGACCTCTAAAGGAATGGCGATAGATTATCAGGCCACCCAACGAAATAATTGACCAGCAATCTTAAAAGGGTTACGTGCCCGGATAAGCATTTTTGACGTTCGCGTCCAAACAACTCAATATTTTGAGCTGAAAATTTTGAGACAAGGTAAATACACCATTCCTCTATATTTTGGCCCTTAAATTTCATACGAACTCGGATTTTTATTTTTGAGACTCTGTTTAAGTCGGTATAGTCCCTTTAACTTGTAAACTACCAATAAGAGAATGGAAATTAATCTAAACTTGAATTGAGTTATGTAGGTTACTTCCTTTTCATTTAGAATTTTCATTCAGTTTATCTGACCAGTTTCTGTTTGACGTTGACGCCATATTGAGCAAATCAGAATGATTAACATTATGTTATAGATCGCTTGGTTGATAGTACTGAATGGTTGAATTATCGACAGGAAAGATGGAATTATGTTGTGAACATATTAAATATTAACACACATGTATTGATATTATATGATATAGTAGTTACCTTATAGGGTAGGTAATAGTGACAGTATATACTGAATGATATCTTGTTAAATAATTTACAGCATAGAATGGGTAGCCTATGATGATCATAGTGGAATAGAAACAGTACAATGGAAGTTATTGGATCATTTAACGGAAGTAGAACATGGATCTCAGCGTATTCCACCACAAGGCGAAACAACGGTAAGTATACGATAATGAAAGAAAGGTTTTATATACCAATAGGGAAACTGGGTGAATATCGTGCACTTCATATTAAATTCTCTATTTCTTCTAACAAAAACGAGTACACTATATTTTGTATCTCAAAATACTTGAATATTAGTTCAAGAGAGGGGATGGGGCTTCACATTGCAACAGGGGAGACAACTCTTCGCACACAAGCTAATGAGTACTACTGATTACTCTGTATTGATTTTATCTTTCAGAACCTTGCAGAATGCCAAAGTAAATATTCTAATAATGCCAGAGGAGCCAATTGTTATTGCATTCCTACTAGCACATGTTATCATCGCCATTTTCAAATAAAACCACCTAAGACTGCTACACCCGGAGAAGGCATCTTAAACAATAAAAATACTGGTACGCATGATCATGATTATCGTATCGTGGTTACTGTGATGAACCAAGCTAAATTAAAAACAACTCTAACTAAACAGGCATGTATTAGATTTTTAAAATGGAACCATAACCACAAATATACACTACAATGTTTCACACTTTACATTTTTCCTTGCTCCATGCAAGATTTGTTTGGATTTAATTATTGCGTGATAATTGAACAGTGCAACGTTGTTATGAATATATTATAACTGCTAATTTATCTTATTAGGGTGACTGCCTTTTTATATGTAGAATAATTTGATTTGTCAAGGCGCATTGTCATGCTGGGTTTATCAAACTAACAATTTTGCTTTAGAGGGATATATAGAGCTGCCTGGTGGATATATCAGTTATTAACTGGGTCTATACATTAGAGTTTATTTTAATTTCAGATTACAATTGATATTAGTCCACCGCACCAAGGGATGGTGCATGACGGTAAATATGGTACACCGGAAGTAGACTTTCAGCCAGATTTAAAACTATTTGCACACTGGGAAGGTTTCTTTGATAGAGAGAGTGGAGTGAAATTTTATCAGTACGGTTTTTCCACGTCTTGTTTGGGCGCCAATAAATTTCAACTAAATCTTGCAAATAGACAGGTAATCTACAAATGAAATGAAACAAATAAGATGAATCCTTTTTGAAGTAAATGTATTTGTCTTTGGTAAGATTTATCCTTTAATGGTAGAACATTTATAAGGGCTCATCTCATACTATTATACTTTTAGGATATTCAACAGACTACATCTACGCAAGCTTCTTGGACAGCACCGTCTGATGGTAAATATTACATCACCGTGGTAGCATATAACCGAGCTTTAGAAGTATCTATGCCAGTTTGTTCTGATGGAGTTGTTGTTGATAGAACATTGCCCACCATAAGTGAAATAGATATAGAAGGGGCTAGAATTAAAGGTGGTTTAATAAAAGAAAATAATCAAATATATTATATATCAAATACAAGACGCAAATATTTACTTAAAGACCCAGATGCAGCTTGTATGTAAGTACAATCTTTAGTTTAAGTCATTTTCGTATATTAAAAATATAACGTTAAACTTCTTGTATCCATGTATTTATCATACTAGTTATCTCATTTACAATGGCAGGTTTCCGTTTTACATTCGTCCCTTATAGTTTCAAATGTCCACCCCTTCTTCTTTCAATACCATCATTAGTAACAGTTCTGTACATTTCTAATATATTTCATTAAAATAAATCATTTTATATAGCAAACCAACACATTAATACTTGTTCAACTAATGTTAATTCTCAGCTAACAAAAGGCCTAGTCTGATTATATCTCCATCCCTCACCTTAACCATTATTAAAGATCCCCATATTTATATCTTTAAAACATTAGAATAAGTAAACAAATTAAACTATTTTACAGTACAACATATTGTTTACACATACAAGCTAAAAAAATTAATGTGCTACTAAATCATTATAAATAAGGTATTTCATTCCAAACGAACCTTAAAATAGGACGAATTTTTGCGATGAATTTTAACCTCGAAGTATTCCTAAATTAAATGAAGAGAATGCTATTTTAACAGAATGGATCAATATATTTCAGGAGAAAAGCCAAAACGGTCGAAGTTACTGATCTTTTTCCTATTGAGAGATTTTCCAATGGTACAATACATACATATCCGGCGAATATGTTTTGTGATGAAAACCCAATTACAGATGTATATTTATCAAAGATGTATCTTGCAATGCATTCCCATGTAAGTATATTCTTCCAGAGGTGAAGTCAGAATTTGGACTAAACAGAGCATGTCATTAACGCCGTATTCTACTGTTTCGACTAGGTCAGCCGTAACTAAAAGATAAACCCAATAACATATACTTCGTAGTGTTGAAGGAGCCAGTGCGATGTATAATAGTCTTAATTGATAATATTGACGCAATTTGATTTTTGGACGAATAGCAATCGGTATATAGAGAATCTCCTACGAGTCTTTTTGATATCCAAAAATATCAACACAAGTCGATAAAGTAAAATAAACGATGAAAAAAGACTCGTAGGAGATTCTCTATAAATGCACAAATAAATAAATATAATTCTTTGCTATAGACGACTTCACTTTTACTGAACCTGATTACGGCGTAGTGATATATCATTTTTTGACAGCAAGTCCTTTATATTGACCCAGTGTTTCCATCAAGGTCAATTAAATAAAAATAATTCATTTTTAATATAAAAAAAGAAGTTAATTTTAATAAAATAATGAACTGCTCTTTGAAAATACAAAAAAAGTAGTTCATTTCTAACTGATCAATCAAATTCATGTAAAGCGATATCTCCTTAGGAGATTATGAAATTTATCACCCAAGCGATATCTACTGTAGAATGTATTATTGGGTGATAAAATACTGTGTCATATAGGCAATACTGTGTCAACAAATTCCACTGACAAGATACAGCTGATTCCGAGAACTGTGTGATCATTTTCGGAATTGGGAGGCATTCTGGTCACATCTCTAGTAAATCAGAATTAGATTTACTTTGGAGGCTATATCACAAAATTGTATAATTTTTAGTCTTAATTGATCATATTGACGCAATCTAATTTTTGGACGTATAGCAGACCCCACAATGTCATATAAGCAATACTGTGTCAGCAATTTCCACTAAGAAGATGCAGTTGATTCCGGGAACCGTGTGATTATTTTCGGAATTGGGGGGCATTCTGGTCACATCTCTAGTAAATCCGAATTAGTAACGCAGTAAAAAATATTTATCGAATTCTCTTTACCGGGTTGAGCCCCATTTTCATAGGTCTTAACAATCTAAAAACAAGACAAGAACATAACATATAGTAATTTTATTTCAGTTATATGTTAATTGGACTGCTAAGGGTAGTTTGATGAATACAGAAATTTACAATTATAAATTTGGTCTAGCATCTGCAGAAAATTCAGTTTCTGCCCCTGACATTTTACCATTTACATCAACCCATCACCATTCTTGGTACCGTGGCTACCACCCGCAACTTAGTGATGGAACCGAATTCTTTATCAGTATTAAGGCAATTAACAAAGCTGGAAAGGAAACTGTTCAGGTTGGTGGCGCTTGTTTATGATTCTAGTACTTTAATCAAATATTGGTTTATTTTTCTACAAAAGTTTAAAAAGTTAGAATATTTCGATAAGACTTATGGTACCCATAAAACATGTTATAATTATTTTCCAGGGATTAGGTCCGATCTTAGTTCACACTATTCCCCTTACTCTTGGTGGTGAGGTATTGGTTAAATTTGAGGATGAGATATTGGAAGCCGATTGGTCAGCAGCAACTGTATCTGATCCCGAATCGTCGCAACTTACCTTTACAGCGGCCGTAGGTAAGTTTATGCATGAGTTCTGCCTTCGCGAAAAACTCTTTTTTTTTTAAAGAAGATAATGTTTTTAATAAGTAGTTTATAATAGTGTTCGGGAATGGGATCAAATCTGACAACTATTAGGAGAATAGTCATCATAAAATTGTATTCGGATCTGAAAAACGAAAGGGTTGTTCTTTGTCATGAATATACAGAAGCAATGTATTTCATTATATAGGTAGTTCACCGGGAAGTGAAGAGGTCTATCCGTATTCTTCCTTATCGTCTGGCGGAAGTTGTATGTTAGCTAACCCACCAACCTGTACAGCTTTTTCCATGGAGGATCTTCATTGGGATTTACATCACAACTTTACCTACTATGTATCTATAAGAGTAGAGAACATTGTTGGATTACACAGTGTGTTCACATCTAATCCATATATTCATAATACCAGAAAACCAGCAAAGGGAGTTGTATTTGAAGTTGCTCTACCTGATGAGGCAGCTGACTTTGGAGTTAATGTAAGCTTTTTCATATATGCTTTTTCATGTATGCTTTTTCATCTAGTTTAATGCACATAATAACCTAATGGTATTGTTATCCTGTCTTTGTGTTAGCTGTTTTCAACAGTTGGCGGTATTGTGACAGTGGGGTAGCTTGTTTAAAATTTTAATTATATTTAAAAATATAATATCGAATCATGTTTGGTAACTTCGACCGAGGATCTCTTCTCATACATTGCAATCTACATAGCTGGTTACAGAAACCTCTATCTCCACTAAACGTATATTACAAAATACCTTTCCAGCTTTCTAAGTGTATCAGTTGTCACATACATAGACTAAATAACGTTAATAGTCAACCATATGGTAAACATAGGCTTTCATCTGTGATTGTATTTCTCTATTGGAACACATCTGTCTATGTTTATATAATTTTCCCTTTAGGAGTTAGAAGACAGTAATTTTCAACTGTCGACCACTACATTAAAAGCAAGATGGTTTGGGTTTGAATCTGATGATATGGCCGAACACGTGACTTACAGTATTGGTATTGGTTCACAACCACTTGTTAGTGATATAAAAGATGAAAACGTTGGCAGTAAGACCCAGCATACGTTTCTCGGGATTAATTTACAGCTGCACAAGGTAAGTGGGATCCTTTAATGCAACAATTGTATACAAAAGCTACAAGATACTCGTTCGTCAGAAAAATCTCCTTATTGCTCTGTCCATAGCTGTTCCCCATCCTTTCAGACCCGTGTAGACTGGTTAAATTTCTGGAAAAAGGCCTTCCTTAAAAATCAAGGAGCATTCTTTTAGTAAAAGTGGGGAACATGACTTTTCTTAATGATTTTGGTGTGCTGAATACGAATATCCATGTTCTCTAGCCGAAATTCGAGTTTTTGACCGTTTAATTAGCATAAATACAAAATGGCCGCCAAATGCTGCTAGATTGTCAGATATCTTGTTAACTATTGACCTTTGGGCCTAATGTATTACAGACATATAGAAAGTCGACCCCATTAAAACAAAAAATGATGTCATTATGCCCCTGTGACGTCACTATTACGTAATATTCAAGATGACCGCCATATTGATCAAAATTTGGTATTGATGTCCCTTTCCTTTTGGATATTTGTGCGTGTCTACCATAATGTACAGGGAATAATCTGAAAATTTCAGTCAAATTGCTCAACTCTGAACCGAGATAGTAGCGATTGAATGTTGGGCCTAGCCTCCACAACAAAATAAACGCCAGTACGATTTCAAAATCATAGAGGCACTTAATCAAATCATTCTAAAAAACGACTTACTAAATGGATCAAAGTAATGTTGACACATTAGTGATTAATTCATCACAATTCCAAGACTTTACGAGAAGGTTTAGAATCTGTACACAAGTCTATACATCAGTACCTGGTGTATCCACCACGAGTATCAATAACAGCAGCACAGCGTCTGTACATGGAGTGGACCAGACGATTGGTGAACGCCATTGGCACCACACTCTCAGAAAAGTCTGGCACAATCCATTGGCTGTGTTTGGTCTCCTCTGAATTTTATCCCAAAGATGTTCAATTGGGTTTAAGTCTGGATTAAGGGATGACCAGTGCATAACGTTGACATCGTTCTGCTGTAGAAAGTCCCGAGTAACTCTGGCGGTGTGGGCACATGCGTTGTCATGCTGGAAAACGTTGTCTCGATGACGTGCGGAATGTGGTATGGCGTGGGGTCTGAGAGCTTGGTCGATGTAGCGCACTGCTGTGATGCCACCTCCTCTCCCTGGACCAAGATTTTGGAACATCACAGGACACACTTTCTAGTACAGGCCGATTCCACCCCAATCCATTATGCTTGGAACACCCCATGAGTCACGTTCCATGACACATTGGTCAGAGCAACGCTGGCCACTTCGACGCCATTTTCTGGTCCTGCCATCTGCAATTGATGGGCAATACCGACTCTCATATGTGTTGTTGGGCAAACTGTAGACGTTCACGTCGATGACAATCTAGCAGCATTTGGCGCTTGGGGACATCGATATTCGTTTTCAGCACATCAAAATCATTAAGAAAAATGATGTTCTGGTCCCGAGTTCACAAAGAATTCTTAGACTTAAGTTAAGAAATTACTCAAAATTTTTCGCCTTATTTTAACTTAAATATAGCCCTTTATAAAACAGTTGTTGTATTAATGTATCAAATGCGTCAATAAGAAACTATGTGCAAAGTTTTGTGTTTCTGGATCAAAGATATTTCTCATAAACTGATTGAAAATTGAGTAAATTCTTAACTTAAGTCTGAGAATGTTTTGTGAACTTGGGGTCAGATTTAACGAACATTTGACTAGTCTAGTGCACAAATATAGAAATCTACATTTGTATGTATTGGTATTATTCTGTCAATATTATTATTGTTACTATTTTTAGACATACTTTGTAACGGTAACAGCTAGGAGTGACGCTGGAACAAGAAAGGCATCGTCTAATGGTATCACTATAGTTCAGAAAAATGTTAACCTGAATAATGAAGTTCGGATAAAAGATGGCTCTAATTGTCAGCAAAAGGGTAAATTATTAAACAGCCATATTCATAACTACAGTGATTACGAATAAAGATTACCTCACAACCACATTTTTTACGAATAAACATTGCCTCGTAAATACTGTGATGATGATTAAATTTAGATTACCCTCGTAGATATAAACATATGACATCAACTATAATATCATCTCATAAAACCAATAGTTGGTGTAGGCCTACAGCAAAGGTCACATTTATGTCTCTTGTATTTGATATTAACCATGTACAATGCATGGTCATAATATGGCTATAAAGCTATTTTACTCCTAATTTCAATCCAAGTTTTTCCAAATAAAACATCACATTATATGCCTATCCTTATACCATATTACTTTTTTTTCACTTTAACAAACATAGAAAGACTATCCTGGCTACCAAACCACCATTCGCAACAGGTAAACTATTTTCCTAATATTAGTAAGATAAAAATAGTACAATATTGATTTTATTGAACTGATACTGGAAGTATTAATAGTTATTGGTATTATCATTTTTCATATATTTATCTATAATAAATTCAATAAAAAACTCTCAAATATTATACGCCATTTTTTTTTCTGACACAGAATTCAAGCTCAGATTGTGAGTCGGATATTGACTATCAAATATCAACATCTTATTACATGGCACATTGGACAATATCAAATGCATATAAACATATGTATCCTGATATTAAATGGACGTTACAAATGAGACAGAAAAACACAGGTAAATAAATGATTGATTTACTTTGAAATAAATGATTGATTTACTTTGAAATAAATGATTGAATTACTTTTAAATAAATCATTGAATAAATAGTTAAATTACTTCGAAATAAATCATTGAATTACTTTGAAATAAATGAATATAATGCATTGGTAGGGGTTGATATTGTTGACTATAGCATTTGGATATATTTATAATTACAATAAGAAAAAAAGAATCTGTAGAGTAGTAGCGTTCGATTGTTAAAATTTACATAAATTGTATGGTTGATAAAAATAAAGAACTTAGCACGGCAAACGGATATTAAAATGTTATTATTGTTATTATTAAACTATTATTCATTGTTTAACAGAGGATATATGGCACAATGTAGAAGATAAGAAGTTTCTATCAAATTCTGGTCAAATCTTCCAACCAGTAGCATTAGATTATTGTAAAACATATAGAAGTAGTGTGAGGTTCTGTTCGGGTGAAGTTTGTTCTCAACCTGTAGTCAGTAATGGTGTAACAGTGTTGAGCAAACCTGATATGCCACATATAGATATACTCCACAAAAAGATGCATGGTTCCCAGGTAATTCAAATATAAATAATATAATACAACTAATTATGTCCAATATTTATACATAATCAAATATTTAATTTGCAGCTCACTATAGTAATTGTTGCTGGCAGAATGATAACACAGTCACCTAGATATCAACGTTACGTTAATATAACGTTGTACCAACACATTAATGAGCACACCGACTGCATAACCTAACGAAGTATACAATTAACACGGTATGAACCTAAAATCTGCCAATGAGCTACTAAATGTAATCTGATATGAAGGTTTGATTTATTATAATACGGTTATCATTTTATGTTTTATTCCATATCTCAGTTAGATGTTAGCTTGACTTACAAGAGTAATACCGAAGATAAAGTGTGTTCTGTGGAGTCTACCATAGATAAATATATGTGGAGTATAACAGATAATAAACATAATAGTCATTTGTTTACTAAATGGAGTAAAGTAAACAATGTGCAGAAAATCAGCGAGACAATGGTAGGAATCTAAATTTTAAGATTGTCTGTATGTTTTTATAAATCTGTTACAGCTGTATACATTATGAAAATGCCCTAAAAAGTAAACTTGATTACAGATTTTAGGCAAACCAATAGACAGAAAAGAGGTAGTAAGCAAACGTGGTGTGCACCACAGAAAATGTTGCGTTGAAGCAAAAACATTTGTGTGGTTCTTTTCAACAGGATAACTATGCAACCACACGAACCTTTGTTCAAAATTGTGCCATAAAGACAAACTATTTCATGTAATATTATTGTATTTCTTAGTTTCAGTTTAGAATTAATTTAGATGGTGAAGTTGATTTTAGTGAATGCAGAAGATTGGCTGTAAGAATATTTAATAAAGCTCGTTTATCAACAATAATATCGTCGGATATTAAAAACTGTTCATCTGTAGATCCGGTATTAATTATACCGGCTATTGTTGTAGATGCTATAGGACAGCCATTAAATAACGGTAAGTACTCTTTGAATATATCGTGAAATTGAAATAAACACACACACACAAATACACACTCGCAGTTGTGACAGATCCAATGATTATGACATATCCACCCTTTTATGAGTAGCGTTTCAATAACTTGAAGATGTTGTTTGTTTTGTATTTCAGATCCCAACACAAATGAACTAGGAACATCCATTTCTCTGGATCAGAACGCAATCTGGTCTACACCAGATGTGGACTATACACCTTATAAAAATATTATATCAGCCGTATGGCCCACATTAAGACATAGAAACTATACTTGGGGTTTACTGGAAGACCCAGCATTCTCTACTCTAACACATTTTACTCAACCGAAGATAACGATAAGAGATCCTTGTTCACATCCAGATGTTATTCAGTGTGGACAAACCGGTGAGGGAGTTTCAGTAATCTTCAAATGTCATTAAGGCTTTATTCCATTGATTCCTTGTGCCATTTCTTTAAGCCTAACAACTATAATATGAACACGTACTTTGAAGGAGTCTTCGTTGACTTCATCATTAAGACTCCAGTTTTACCGCATTTCTTTATATTTCTTTTCTCAGAAAACGAATACATCAATGTGTTAACTCAAAATACTTTAAAACACGGAAGGCGGTATTATATCTGTATCCATGCGGATGCTGTTGTTGCTGGTCATGAAAAATGGACGGAAGATTTGGAAGAAGTAAACGCATGTAGTGATGGAGTAACTGTTGATTTGACTCCACCAAATGGTGGTCGGGTGTGGGTGGAGAACTTGGAAGATTTTAAATACCAGGTAAATAGTTCTAAAAAAATATAGTCGAACCCGATTATCTCTATCCTAGCATACTCGAAGACATATAATATTTGGTGTGTCATTCATTCCTTGTAATTCCCTGTTAGCCCGATTAATAGTGTTTCGGGATAATGGTTCCATCCTCGGATAATATGCTATATATACTCAGCCAAATTAAAAACTTAATTTCAACAAATTTTTTTAAAGTGTTTCTAACGATAGTAAGTAGTAAGAAGCCTTTAATTTCATAAAATCGTTAAGTCACGTGGATCACGTGACTTTTGAGCATATAAAGATGAAAAACCTGAAAAACACGTGCAAACACAAACTCGTGAGGTCAATCGATGCAAGTTTGCTTAAACTGAACACGCACACGTAACTTGAACTGGAAAAACAAATTAAAATTGTTATTTCAAATGTAGAACGTCTACATTCTACATGCTATAGGTAGGCTCTATGCTGGTCAGTCTGTGCTCATTGTTGCAAGAGCCTTTAATTGTTCACGCCAGACAATAATTAATCTTAGAATGAGAGTGCTTCAAACGTCACTTCAGGAAGATCAGGCAATACGATTACGTCATCTTAGAAACAGATTTGTCACTGCAACCTCCACAAGTAGAGAGATGTTTGGTGGAAGTATATATAGCTATCGGTTGTTTCTCGTATTTGATTATAGCTGTTTTAATAAACTTATCAGTACTGAAGTAATGTTTTTGTGATAGTTTTATATGAATAACCAATATATTATTTCAGTCATCCGACAATGATGTAGCTGTCTACTGGGATAGTTTTCTTGACGTAGAGGAAAATGGTGGAAAAACTGTTCATCCAAGTGGAATATCAAAATATCATTTATATATCGGTAAGGTTAACTTGTTTCAAGGATACGACAGTGATCGCTGAATCAACAAGTTAAAAGTGAACGAACATACCTTATTGTCAATCTGTAAATATGCTGTTCTTTACATTTTGTAAATTTTCTTTTACTTATAAAGGTTCTATACAGGGAGGTGAAGATATTGTAACTAAACATAATGTTGGTTTGATAAATCATAAAATATTCCACCATCTTTCTTTACAAAATGGCCACACTTATTACGTCACTATAGAAGGTAGGTATAAATTCATGTTTCTGTTTCACAATTAGAACTATAAAAAAATGTATAACTTAAATAAAAGCAAATAGAAACGATTAAATTAGATTTGTTAATCATGTATTAAAGTCGTGTAATTAATTATAAAGCTACATATTCCAATCTTCTATACAAAATGAATTGATTTCTATTTCCCGCTTGGCAAAATTGCTCGTTCGTTAGTACCCACCCATTTCTTTCATCCCTTGGTTCCACTATTGTTTGTTTAGTGCTATTATTGTTTTTTTTTTGTTTTTTTTTTCAGCAATTGATTTTGTAAACAGGACAAAAACCGTTTCATCTGAAGGTTTCATTATTGATAATAGTCCACCAGAAACTACATCTAAACCTATACAATTTACTAATACATATATACAGTCAAATGATGTATTGTCTGCGTGGTAGGTTTATATAGAATCTAGTGTTAGTAAACAACATAAAATGAAAGCCATTGACCCCAGCCAAAGTATTTGGTTACCGGTGTTTTTGAAGGCGTGAAATAGTAAGCCTACCTCGACACGTGTACTATACCTTTTATCATTTATAGATCAGAATGCCTCGGTTTAGATTCCATGTAAAAGATTCATTGGCAGTTGGAAGTCTCCCCTCATTAATTGTAAATAATGTATTAAGAGTCTGAGCCATTGTATTTGATTTATTTACAGTTGGAGTGGATCATTTAAAGACACTGAAAGTGGTATAAGTCAGTATCGGTGGGCAGTCGGTACTAGACCAGGCCATGAAAACATTAGGGAATATATGATAACAGATAATGATTGTGATGAAGCGAATGTAGAACAAAAATTGCAAGATGGACACGTTTATTACGTCACAGTTCAGGTATATCTCTTATTGTAATTTTGCATTACGTTTTTGGATATAATACATGTATAAATATTTAATGAATTATGCTTGATGTAACAGATAAGGTTGGAACACACATTGTGCTTTATTATTTTTCAGCTTATTTTTTTCAAAGAAATTGACACTAATCGTTAAGACGGTATACTTATAGCTGATGTAATTTCCAATATAATTTTAAAATAACTCTTGTCTATTGTGGTGTTTCAGGCCATTAATGGTGCAGGGTTATCTACTACATTAATATCTCGTCCAGTGACAGTAGACACAACTCCTCCTACCACAGGACATGTCATCGATATTCTTAATACAAACTATACCGGAGATGACGTAGATTATATAACTAACCAATCACCATTTTCTGTTAGATGGCAAGGATTCCATGATCCCCATTCATCAATGCAATACTATACTGTTAAAGTTGGTACCTGTGCTGATTGTGATGACATAATTCCAGAAATCAAAACAGGAATATCTACACGTAAGGAAAATATTATTACAAAATACAATCCAACTTTTCTGTCATAGAACTATTGATGATATTCCCAAGAAGAGGTGGTTTAGTTTTATTGTAAAAATAGGGGCTATTCTCTTTAAAATTAGGTAGATATTTCAGATTTTAGTTAAGTTTTATTGTAAAAATATGGACTAGTTCAAATAAATTAAGTAGATCTTCTAATAAATTTTAAAAACCGATACATATTTCAGATTTTACCTTTCCAACGTCCAAATTTACTCCTGGAACAAAATATATCACCACGGTAACAGGGTGCAATATGGCTGACATGTGTACGTCGGCCATTTCTGACGGGGTAATAATTGACGTGACATCACCGGACGTGGGACGAGTTTTAGATGGAACGAAAGATTTAGATGTAGAATTCCAAGCAACCAGGTAATTGAAACACGATTATCAAGTCTGTTTAGTTTTCCGTTTTCAGAGCAAACTATAAAATTGACATGAGGATCCACGAATATTATTGGATCACGGTTATCAAGTCTCCGCAGCTATGGGACCGCTGCAGTAGATATTGTCTTAGAAGGCATTTTACAATAACCCATTTTTATACGTGATCGTATATCGCCATCTCCCCAGTTCGCCCGTCCGTCCGTCCGTCCACAAGTTCTTGTGAACACTCTTAAGACTACATTTATCATCTGATTGTTTTAAAATTGATATTATATGCCTACATTATTGATATGAAGATTCTATTTAACAAAAGTTCTATCCTATCCGTATGATGTTGATATGCATCATTTAAACTAGTGAAACGAAGAATCCTATTCAATTTCGTCAATTTGTCATGTAAATGACCTCATTGCCTACTAAAGAATACATATGCTACAACCATTGTCGATCGCCCGAACGATTTAGCTGGGAACTTATCTTAATTAGATGATTGACATTTATAAATTGGTTCTGGGCAGTTAGTTAGGGTTATATAAGAGTGTTGCAATTATTATCTTCCAGAATCAGATTCTACTACTGAATAAGTTAACATAATGTGTTGTGTGCAATTTTTAAGGATTGTCATCCTGATTTCAGAAACTTTGTTGGTGCCAAATGGCATGGGTTTAAAGATGCACAATCTGGTATAGCGAGATATGAATGGAGAGTAGGAACAACCATTGGAGGCGAAGAGTTACTTAGCCCTCAAGTTTTACCAGTGGTCGAACTGGCCTATAGATCTAATTTACCTGATAATAAGCTATTGCCTATTGATACTAGAATTTATATTACTGTTAGATGTTACAATAAAGCAGGTATGACTCAAATTATTTTAATGACGCTAATGACACTTACAAAAACAATAATTTAAGTTATATCTTACTTGAACAAGCATTACTGTTGTGGACCCAATGTATAAATTCGCTATGTAAGTGGTAAAAGGGTTCCTACATGAAATATTCTCCCTTTTTAAAATTGGTTAGAGTTATCACCCCTTTGCATGTCCTCTAGACCCGGCTTCATTGTAGACGAATCGACATCTTTCTTTTGTAAAAATGCATAGGATTACTTTTATATTTATATCATCATCGTTTGTATTATTTGTGCATTTCAAAACCGCCACTGCACCTAGATTTTATTTTATTAGGTTTATACAGCGAAGTTACATCAAATGGTTTTAAGATCGATACAACATTACCAGTTGTAGTACAAAGGGCAGCCTCCGTCTCATCGTTTAGTTCTGTTTTACCTTCAACTACCATATCAAAATCTAGTATTAAAATTGAATGGAAGTTTACTGATGATGAATCAGATATAGAAAGACAATACATTTCTATTTCACCTCATTTATTGGGAGATTTTAATTCTTCAGCTATGGAGGTAAGTCCTATCGATAATTTTAAACATATTTTGTTTTTTGAAAAATGAAACACTTTGATAAAAAAATAAGCATGCCTATAATGAATTCAGTAATTTAGAAAAATACAGTGGCATTACGAGGATGTCCACTGGACAGTGCCTGGGTAAAATTGTATAGTTGGAAAATTTTTAAGGGATAGATTACTATTTTTGTTTCAGATTCCTAGTACGGTAACAGAGTTTGCGTTTTCTGGTCTAGCTCTACACGACGGTAGTAAATATAAAGTTAAAGTGATTGGTTGTAATTTAGCTGGTTTGTGCCAGTCGAGTGTTACAGATGATATAACAGTTGATTCTACACCACCTACCAGAGGTACGTGTATTGTTTGTATCGATTAAAATTGCTTATAGTTATGCTTACATTATATAAGAACAAATGTCATGATATCTGATAACTCATTCTCGATGTAAATAAATCCACGTACTCTAAGAAAACAGGCAATTTTAATTTTCATTTTTTTTAATTTGTTTTCCACTCTAAAATGACTAAGTAATTTATAATCTGATAATTATGAACAATCCGAATTCGATGTCGTTTTGGTTTTGTTCTAGTCATTTTGGAGAATTAAAGTTTTACCATATTACAAATTGTGTATCTTCCCCAATGAAATAATTAGTGAATGTTGTTTCAGGTATGTTTGCTATTGATACTGACCACGCCGCTAACTTAAACAGAGATATGAATAACTGGAACCACTGGTCTTCTACGTCTATTAAGTTAGCATGGTTGGGATTTGCCGATCTACATACTGGTATAACCGAGTATAAAGTCAGTGTTGGGACCAAACCTTTCTTTACCGATCTCAACCAGGCAAGTATCTCTAATTACGGTAATATGTGGTAGTCTTGAGCATAATACAATTTTTGGCGTAAATTAGCAGCATTCAAACACCCAAAATCTTATAAATAAAATGCTTTTTTTCGATCTGCAATTAATCTTAGGTAATAAGACAGATTTTTGTTTATTTCACGAAATTCTCTTATGAAAAAATATTTTAACAGGGCGATCAACAAACCACGTTTCAACATGTGGCTGGAGATAATTTTAATGATGAAGGAGTGGTACAATCAGTTACAATAACTACCAAGACACTTCATATGGGCAATTCTGTTTTCATATCTGTATGGGCTGTTAACGGGGTAATTATTGCTATTTAATCATTTTCTAGTATATGATATATGTACTACAGTAGAACAAGAGAAATTACACCTCTAAATCGGGTGTATCAGACTTGGGCAAAATTGCCACTTCAGTATCCGTATCTATTAACTAACAATATGTTTTAATTTTAGTCTTTTATTGTGTTACATATCATCTCATTTTTATTTTTGATATAGGTTGGATTAAAAAGTCAACCTGCTCATTCTGAATTTGAACTTGTAGAAGGAGGAATGTTAGATTTAGTCAGGAGATGTCAACCGTATAATTGTCTTGGACATTGTGTTTGTGCTGCACAAGACAAAACATGTTCAGATGCTGACAACTGTAGAGACATCTCAACAGGTATATTATTAAAATTATTCATTAATTAATTCTTTGTGAACTTTTCTGTTAGGGTTTCCTTTGCATTCGCCACAGTAATGGCCCACTGTGTTTAGTCTACCTTAATTTCAGATGTAATATGCCACACTATTCCTATATTTTTGTATATTTTATGTTATCCGCCACGTGATTGATTTCTTATTTATAATCATTCTTGCAGGGAATCCAAATAACATTATCCAAGTTACTGACATGACTAATTTGATGTCATCTGATGCTACACAGTCTTACTACACATCGTCTGATAATTTTCTAGCTGCCAGATGGAGGATAATAAACCCACAAGGTATCTCTCCTATAAGGTAAATTAAACTTAGATAAGTTAAACGTCTTTAATAAACTAACACGGTCTCTCATCTATAAGGCAAATTAAACCCCTTTAATAAACCAACAAGGTCTCTCGTCTATAAATTAAATTAAATTTAGATAAATTAAACCCCTTTAATAAACCAACAGGGTCACTCATCTATTAGGTAAATGGTACCTCTTTAATAAACCAACAATGATGATCTAGGCCTCAGCCTTCCAAGACCAGCTTAATTCATTACATAGCAATTACCATGAATTCAAACTCAGCATATGATATTTTAGATATGAATGCAGTGCTGGAAATTCCGGTGAAAATTCACCCAGTGGAATATATGACACTGATACAGAAAGGACATGGTTTGATGTTGGTGAAAATACCGAAACTATAATTACTTTACCTACAGGTATACCTTTTAAAAATGTTATTCATTTCTTTCAAGAAACAATCACTAATACTGTATATTTATTAGTATGTAATATTAACAAATCACACAACCTTTACTCAGTTACAATAGGATACCTTATCAATACATTCAGCTATAAACATTGAAACATACGTAAAAAGCTCTATAAACAAAAGTCTTCTTTCTTGTAAAGGTGTGTCACAGGGATCGGCTTAAGGTCCCACTATGTTTCTAGTACATGTAATTTCGTAATATTATTTTATTTATTACAGCTAAAGTTTTAGATAAGTCTGTGCCATATAGTGTATTTGTGAGGGTATGGTATAATGCAAATCAATATGCGATATTTAAGTCTCCTGGTATTACACCACTGACGTCTGCTCCTAGTGTCAGTCACATAGCGGGTGCTGCTGTAAGTACTTAAAAATAAGATAAAACACCAAGCTATTTAATAATATATCGACTACTTTTCCCCGTTTTGATTAACCTATTTTAAATAGAATTATTGATTTGATTTTGAGATATATTTCTTTATTTTTTATCCAGATAAAAGAATTAGAAACTATATTAAGTGTTAACGATTTAGATTACCAAACATCAAGCAATCAGATTATTATTGGTTGGAAGAATAAATTTAGAGGAGGAATATACGGATTCGATTATTTTAAGCCTTATATAAGCACTCATCCACAAGGTGGGTTTTAATACTAACATAATCACATTGAATAACTTTTCCGAACCTGAATGTTTAACGGAAACAAGTATTTATTATTTTTATGACAACATTTTTAAACTGATGTTTCCATTCCTAAAGATATTTTTGAACCAGTCCCGACCAATCTCATTATCAAGTAGAGTGGGTCTTAAAGATTGCAAAACTTTCTTTTGGCCTCAAATGTTATATCAATTATTAGAAATTTATTCAGAAGACAAGCCCGTAATCAACTCTCTAGACCATTGCAATGTCAAGATTTGAAATATGATAACAATGGTTACATTAATAAAAATCGAGACTACGCTATTCTTAGCAAAACCTTAAACACTGACAACTTCCCTCAAAATAGAGAACTGAAATTTTCAATATATTATTTTTATTGCTGTTTCATTATCTATTTATCTAAATCTTACATATTGCATCTTTACTAGTGTAATTAATAGCGATTTTTCTGAAATGTAGGCCACAACGTTCATCAGTCATCTACAAGAGTACCTGGAAATACTAGTATCTATACAGCTACTAATCTAAATCTACAAGAGAATAGAGAATATTATAGTACTGTACTAGCTTATAATAAAGCAGGATTATTGAGCTGGGCCAATAGTGATGGAATATTAATAGACAATACAACTCCCACTTCCGGTATTATACATGATGGTAATGGTAAGTACGTACATGTAAACTATTGAAATTATTGAATATAGAGTGGCCCCAAAAAAACACGTACGTACATGTAAACTATTGAAATTATTGAATATAGAGTTGCCCCAAAAACAGAACCCCGTAAAATTTGTATTAAATCTTACAATGGTCCAGCTTCTTGAACTTCGTCTGCGTACGATCATTGTCCAAAGTTTCAGTTATTTTGGTTGCTTTGCACAAAGAAAAATTACAATCAACAGTGTTATTCAAAGATTTGTGAGTTCTTGGGGGGGGGGGGGGGCGTTGCGGGCACCTTTAAATTACCCGACACTACTCATAGACTTATTTTAGCCGATTTAAATTTCCCTAAGAAATTTCCTGTTTTGTGATAATAATGAAATACAACCAAGTACGAACAACCCAAACCATAAGACAAAATTCGAAGTCCTAAAAAAACGGTACAGGCAAAATGATGTAATTAGCAAATGGACTGTTCACCGTGTACAAAATACACGAAAAACAGTGGTAACAGTGATAAGTTTAATTATTCATGATTTTTATAGACAACCATGATAAATTTGGGGATACGGTCTCTTATTAATTCATATTTACAGATATATATGATAAAGATTACCAAAACGCTACAAAAGTTATATCATCATCGTGGTATGGTTTTACTGATAGTGGTACTGGTATAGTTAAATATTACTGGTGTATTGGTACTGGTATTAGTACTACAGATTGTAATATACACGACTGGAAGGCTGTAGGATTAAATACTAGAGTGTCTGTAAACCTAACCTCACCTTTAAATCATGGTAGGCATTCTAAAGTTTCCATATTAATTCCGAATCTCAATTTCGATTAGACGAAGAGTTGAAGTATTAAATAAAAATCCTTTCATTATCGTGACGCTATGTGTTCTACAGTAGGGATATATCACTCGACACGTGCGATACTGGTCCCTTACTGTAGTATAGTGGACAAGATAATGAAAACAGATTTTTTACCTCTTCAAATGCCTTTGGAAAGAGTCCCCTCAAATATAATATACCTCAAGACCATCCCATAACGTCTCAAGCCATATCTTTCCAAAGAATGAATTTCTGAATGTTTTGTTTCCAAATGTGATATATTATTATCAACGTGTTACCGCCAACATAACAAATACGACTACTATATTTTATTTTACAGGTATGAAAATTTATAATAAAGTGTATGCTGTAGATGGAAGTGGGTTGGAATCTGATGTAGCAGTGTCTGATGGTATTACAATTGATACCACACCCCCAGTACCGGTTGATATAGAATATATTGGAGAAAATCTCATCGCCAATCCATCATTTGAAGAAGGCGTGACGGAATCAAATAAGGAATGTGATGACCAACCACCAGCTCGTTGGCATATTAACTCCACCTCGTGTATTAAGATCATCCAATCACAACCTTCCGTTTCAAAAGAGGGTGGAGCCTATATTAAAGTGAAAGGTCATATTCAACAAACAGTTTTTGATTTAAACCCCCAAAGTGCTTATCATGTTATAGTACATGTTGGATATCCACATGATGTTAGCATTCAGCATCACAACGTGGAAGGTTTTGTGCAATTCGGACAAGAAACTCACACATTCAGCCTTGACCCAGAACGATGTCAGGGGATATGTGACATTGACCAACAGCCATTAATATTATGGAATAAATTTACTTATGTATTCCATCCAAGAGAAGCAAGAGAAGTGATAAGAATTGGTACAAGTAAATTACATATGATATTAGCTGTAGATGATGTATATGTACAACAAGTTAATTATATAGATATAACAAGTGACTCTAATCATTTAATACATCATACAGTGTTTAGACCTTATTGGTCATCTCTTCATCTTACCTGGCATTTTAAAGATGATCAAAGTCCTATTACAGATTATCAATGGGCACTAGGTAAGTTTAGTTTGAATACATGTACTACTATATGTAAATATATCAGTGACTATAATTAAGTAATACAATAGTGTTTAAATCATGTAGGTATTTAGTTTTAGCAATTAATTTCCTGTTTTTTGTAGATTTTATTTAGAAATCAAATTGATTTTAGTATCAAATAATATATTGGAAAATTACTCAGGGAGCATTCTTCTTTTCTAAAATCCTTTTGGCAACGGTTTTCAATCAGCAATCATACTAATTTCAGGAACCGTGCAAGGTGGAACCCAGATTCGGTCGTTCACAAGTGTTGGTAGAAATCAGCAAGCTACTGCATCCGGTCTAAAATTAGCCCATAATACACTAATATACCTGACCGTGATGTCAACCAATGGTGCCGGACTGACAACTGTCAGCCAGTCAGAGAGTATTGTTGTTGATATGACTCCACCAATAATATCAGAGATAAACGATGGTATAGGTAAGAAATTAATCGTTTATTGTGAGGTACTTTAATGGAAAAATATTATTGGCCACCACAATGAAATATCATCTATTTAAATAATATTGACAGAACCTATGATCTATTCAGAATGGTTATCAACACCAAGTTCAGGGTTGAAACTTGGTTATTACTTGGCAGGATTGTACTCTTTACTAAACCAAATCACGGTTAACATTGTCGAAGGTTTAAACTTTGGTTCGTATCAAAACCACATAACGGATGAAAATAGAATTCGAATAATCTCGATAGCCCCAAAAATTGTTTCTTGTTTAATACATTAACTTGTCTTTCTCTTTTGTTGAATTTTAGAGAATGATGTAAATTTCCAGCTGACCAAACTTATATCAGTTAATTGGAAAGTAGGAGATCCAGAATCAGGAGTAGAATATTGTCAATGGGCTATAGGTAATACTTTGAAATTTTCAACGTTGTAATAACGTAATTTGTTAATCGGTTATATAGATTCCCCTCGTAGCAGACCTTATGGCGAATATCGCCTTTATTAGCCCGGCCAGTGTAGAATAGTAGGATTTTAAATCCAATTTCATTTTGCTTTACAACATACAACGAATGACGTATATCTATGTAACAAACGTCGAATGTTGATTGTAATTATTGTTAATTTCTACAACATACAATCTATTATTTGTTTCAACTAGACATGTACGTTATTTAATTAATCACACGTGTATACATTTATCAATTAATGTTTTATATACAAGGTTCAACGCACGGCGGTGTTGATATACAGCCATTTACTCCTGTACCAGATAAACAATCATTTGCTCAAGTACAACTCAGTGTTGATCAAATACAGAACTCTAAACAAGTTTATTCTACTGTAAGATGTTATAATAAAGCTGGATTGCCAACTACAGCTACTACTGATGGCGTTCTGGTTATAATCAAAATGGCTGCCATAGCAGACGGTCAGATCGCCATTCATAAAGATGGAATATCTGCATATTCGGTGAAGGATGATTGTTATCCATTGACTGATAGATTACGATTAAAATGGGATTTAGAAAATACCAGAATTGATACCAAGTCTATACAGGTATATATTGTTTAAGAAAAGGAGAAATTCCAGATAAGTGGACTTTTAACACTTATCTGTGCACATTTGAGCGCCTAGAATTAACAGTGTCTTTTTTCATAATAAAACAATTAGTGTTTCAGTTTAGTATTACCACATTACCTGGCACACTGATCAGCCGTGAATATTCGTTGGGCTGCTACAATCACTGATAGGGTTGACATCCGTGTGGCTTAATGCGCCCCAATATTAACGTTTTTCCTTCTGCAAATGAAATTCTAGAACATTGATGTTTTGAGCATTAGAAAAATAAATAATGGTGTTTGTAGTAAATGTAGGTAAAATATGTCCTATTTGGGGTAAATGGGTATGTCAAATGAATAAAAGGCACCATTCCGTCCGGTCCAGTAACGTCTTATGTAAAGAATGCACGTGCCATTGAGCCAATGATGGGCGCCGCTTGATTGTGACGTCACGTGCGGAAAGCATTCATCTTTTACAGAGTTTTTAGTAGAAGACTTTCGTAATCCTCTGTGAAACAGATTGCCCTGGCAGGAAACTAATTACAATAAACTTAAGCCAAATATGCCATCTTGACGCGTCTTATATTGGTTGTTACAAGTATTAGATTGATGTATTTTTATTACTAGGTATCAGTGTATGGTCCAGGTTATAATTTAGATAAAGAAGTTCGAGTTACAGAGATTAGTTATAATCAGGCTAAATTAAGAAGTTTATCACTACAACCTAACTCTATCTATAATGTTAGTGTTTCTACTATTAATGTATTAGGAAGACAAGACAATTCTTTATCAACAGTAATATCATCTGTAGCACAACCACCAATTTTACAAGGTTTGTATAAGTCATTCTGCCAATAGAAAAATTCATTTTCTTTATTGGATTATGTCATAAATTGGATCTAGTTTGAGGCATCGTTAATTTCGTTTATGAAGTGGGGTTCAAAAACACTTTAGGGCAACTATGAAGCTGTAAATGTTCAACGATAGGGCATTTAACCAGATGAACTTTGTTTTGGCCCTGTTTTTAGAAATATGATCATTTTCCTAATCTTATTGGATTGGACTGTGCAATGTGACTACTGGTTTATATTGAATGGTATATTCTGAATGAATAAAGTTACTATTATTATTATTCTATATATTTCAGCGGGTTCAAAATTACTAATTGCCAGATCATTTGATGGTAAATCATTGGAAATGTCATGGAGAGATTTATTTGCGTCCCCATGGAAGAACCTGTATTATGAAGTCAGTTTAGGAACTTCGCCAGGAGGAGCGGATGTTATACAATGGCAAGAGACAAAAGTTGCTTCCCTTACCATCGAGATGCCTGATATATCGAAGTTACCAAGAATATATTTAACAATAACAGCTGTGGACCCATGCGGTCTTTTCCTACATTATAATCGTACCGTTGTACTTTAACATACCGATATTATTATTTCAAAATATCTATGTTAGATTCTGGTTATATTGTTTATAACTCCGCTATCCACTGCAAATAACTATTGTAGATTCTTCTAGAATGTTTATACAATATTACCTACAGCAAATAACTGTGATATTTTTCCTCAATCTATTTTAAAAATGTATTTAACACACTGCTGTCAATCTTTATAATTTATTCCTACATTTTTATACAATAGATATATAAATATTAACACCCAAATTGTGGCAGCTGTATATAGTAATCCTATATTATGTTTATATCTATTGAACAACTTCGGTTAGTATTTCCTACCTGTTTAGAGGCGATCTAGATTAGTTCTGCGGTTGTCCACCGGGTTTCAAGCGTTTGATGTCTCTCCATAGAGTAGTTAAGAGTATATATTCCACGGGGTGTCAAGCGAATGCAAACCTTAACTATAATATATAGTACGTTCACGGGATGCCATGAGGGAGAAATCAGCTCCTAGCATAGTTTCTGGATGTCAATTACGTAACAAGTATAGTTGTCTAAGTGTCAACTATTTACCTATAGTAGTCCACGTGGTGGCCCTGTTCATGGAAACCTGCTCATGCAGTGGGACCACGTCGATTGGGCTGTGCAATCTGACTACTGGTATTATGAAGTCAGTTTAGGAACTTCGCCGGGAGGAGCGGACGTTATACAATGGCAAGAGACAACAGTTGCCTCTCTTACCATCGAGATGCCTGATGTATCGAAATTACCAAAATTATATTTAACAATAACAGCTGTGGACCCTTGCGGTCTTTCCCTACATTATAATCACAACATTGTACTTTGACATATGGATTGTTTCTATAATATTTACATTTAAAACTCCATTCCCTGCTGTAAATAACTGTGATTTGCTTCCTCAATTTATTTTAAAAATATATATTTAGAAGACTGTTGTCAATCTTTATAGTTTATTCCTACATTTTCATACAATAGATATATAAATATTTAACAGTGGTGTTTCCCGTCCTTGTACGAATACAGCAAGTATATTCAACGTTGGTTATCGTAGATCTTTATAATTATTTCCAATATTATAATTATTGATCTTTTGTATAACCTTGTGTGACTGCTGTAAGTAGTATTCCTATACTATGATGATTAGATATATTAAACAGTGCCGGTTAGTATTTCCTATCTAATTAGAGGCTGTTTAGAATAGTTCTGCGGTTTCTATTGAGTTTCAAGCGTTTGATGTCTCTTCCTAGAGTAGTAAAGAATAGTCAACGTGGTGTCTAGGGGTGTAATCTTTTTTCTAGAATGTTTCAAGTCGTATCAAGCCATGCAATAGTAGTCTACTAGGTGTAAAGCAGGAGTATGTTTTAAAAACCGTCTTATGCTTGAACTAGAATAGTCCGCCAATCTTGGCTGGATTTGTTCTTATCTACAAATGTCTACGGTGTGTCAAGCGGTCGGACTTTTAAGTAAAGTAACCCTAGCTGTGACAAACGGAGAAATCTCTTGCTAGAATAGTTCTTTGTGTGTCTAATGTCAACCCCGATGCATCCCTTTCTAAAGAATTTGTATTGTGGGTGTGTCTGTCGGTCCATCCGTACATCAAAATTTGTTTCAATAACACGATAGATGCTGTAGCGTTTAATGGTGCATTGGGGTAGTGATCGGGTGAACACTATTAACATTCCGGGTTCCACGACCTTCCGTTAACAACCCCCCTTTTCCGAAAACCTTGTTAAACTGCACAAATAATTATTATGCAAGATTAAATGCAAATGCTGTTTTGCTTGAATTCAAAAAGGAAATATATTAACAAAACAAAAACGATTAAATTGTTTATATGGTGTATGGATATGGTATTTAGAAAAGGAGGCGTATCTGTCTATCTGATGTATTAACGGTTATCAGAATCTCTCGTGGGTGCTATACTAGTTTCTTACACATTTCAGAGATATGCCAATTCTATCTTATAGACCCAATGTGAATGTCTTAACAGTAACCAGATACGGTCAGGATAAGTAATTGAAGACAATTTCCAATGAGTATAACCCTACTAATGAGGTAAAAGTGTTCACTGTAACCCTAATAGTAGTCGGTTCAGACGCTTAAGTTGAACTGGTTTAAAAACCCCGGGGATCGTTAAACCAGTTTAACTTAAGCGTCTGAACCCCAACTCGTCACCTGTCTCCGAGAAGGCTTTTTATTTTAAACTGGTTCATCTTAGCCGTCTGAACGGGTTGGCTTAAAAAAAACCCGACTCCAGCTTGCTTTGAGCATGCGCAATACGCAGTAAGTTACATTCCTGTGAAAATATCGGGGTCAGACAGTGCCAATGTTATCGAATAAAGAATATGAAGCTCCCATGGTCAGATATAGTACGTGTGAACGCAAAGTACGATGCTGTTATAAAACCACCAGCGATTTTGAGCTGGTTTAAGAATAAGCTTCTGAACGGCTATAGGTAAAGAACGTTACTAATGTAATATGTTCTAAAGTTATTAATGACTGTAGGTGAGACATAATAATTAATACTACTAATTTATATTAAAGAGACAGGCTAAGTGATATTACGTTAATATTCTCTTGAATTACGGATTAATACAGGGCTATTCACAAGGAAGGAAATAAAAGTTTAATTTATAATAAGCGTAAGAGTACGAACATGATTAAAATATGATAGTATAATATTAAAATATTTAAATAAAGGTTATAGGTTAAGGGTAAACAAATTGAATTAATAGAGTTCTGATGGAAGTTTCTCGGGATTGAACCCAAGATATCCTGACTAGTCTCCCTAAACGATGGTTGCGGCATCTTGTGAGACTTTGTAAATCAAGGGAAGTTCGTAAAGTGTTTTCACATGACGCTAGCAGATTTACAGGCTTTTAATTATCTAGCAGACTGATTATTGTTCATAATTCTATTTTAAATTAGTTAAAACGTTAGTCGTTTAGAGTTCAAAGGATGAACACTATTAATCGATGAAACAAGCTTAATATTGAAACATTTTCTAGTTGTATGTACCCGAGAATAGCATACCGGCTATTAACAGTACACGATATTAATGCATAATATAAAGAAATTTGGATAAATATATAAAATATAAGTTCTCACGTATTTTACACTGTCATAATTCACCCTGATGTTTGCATATGGTGACTTGTCTCTTATGTAAACATTTACATAATATTTGTTGAATTATGTTAAACCCGACTAAGATATAAAACATTGATAAAGCACACGAATGTCTAGGGCTTAACACGTCTTGGTAAACAAAGGCCTGTCCTATATAAAGATTACATCCGCTTCAAACCGCCAGGAGTACTGTGGTTAAAACGCCAGGCAATTTGACACCCCTTGCCCTATTCTATATCAATATCTAGCCCCCGACATCCCACGAGCGCGTATAGGAATGGAATTCGACAACTTGACATCCCGTTTAGTATTCCTTACACCACAAGGGGTACTCTAGTTAAAACGCCAGAGCGTTTGAAAAAGCCCCAGTGGACACACTTGTGAGTGAGATATAGTCTATGGAGTTTTCGACTGCCTGGCACCCCGATAACTGCTGTAGAAATAGGTGTCAAGATCTTTTATTCAGATAACGCCAAGCAATGACATGCGAGCCGAGTCGTTACATGTATTAGTTAAAGTGTTGTCAAAGGGTGGGGGTATAAACATTATGGACCCCCAGTCATTTAGCAAAAAAGGAATATTCTCAATTTTATTTAGTGTAATGCAAAGTAAGAGAATTGTTCCCAGATAGCCAAGTTTCCACCTGTTCTTCTATTTTACACCGTTACGTGTTCTTTATGTGTACATGGACGAACGTCGGCTTTACATGTAATCCTCACACTCGCCATTCCGACAAGTAATTACATGGCTTGAAAAGTTCACATTGTTTTTATCGAACCCACAATAGGTTTCGAATCCGTGATATTCTGTTCGAGAGTCCAGTTCCCTGTACAAGGCCTATGGAAGACCCGAGAGCTCTGTATCCAGTGTTCACAATTCTTAGTTCTTTATTCATAGTCCATAATTGTTATTTCTTCTTTGTTGTCGTATTTCGGCATTTCTCGTATTTCGAAATTTGTATACTAAAATTAACATTTGTATCTTAAATTCAGACATTTGTTTTACAAATCAGACATTTTTCGTATCAGAACTGAAATTGTATCTTTCTTTAATTTAATTGTATTTCAATATAATGATAAAATCTCCTCTACGAAATTATTTACAAAAATATAAGTACATTGTTTAAAATTAGAATTATATAAAGAGTTTAATAATTGGTATACAAATGTCGAAATACGACAACAAATGAAGAAATAAGAATTAAGGACTATGAATTAAGAACTAAGAATTAAGAACACCGAATGAAGAGCTGTTTGGTCTCCCATAACGGCCCGCCATTTTAATCCAGAGGAAATAATTATATATTCTGGTTTCAGGTGATATTTTATTCGCTAATATTTTTAAAGGGTTACAGCACAGTAACTAATAAATAATATAATACGTAAACGGAACCCGGGATTCGTCGATTTCAAGCATCACAAAGTAATAGTAACGTATTCATGGAAACCTTACAGATATAATTGTGAATATGAAGAATTATGCTAGAAATGTTTGTGCCGATGTATTAATTGTGTTATTATTAGTATGGTTTCTTACATATACAGTACAAGCAGTGTAAGTATATTGTTTGATTTTACCATCTTATTGGCATAAATTATCAGTGGTATTATTACTCATAATCAAATTAAAATTATCTGAAATACCAATCTTTATTTAAGAAAGGCTTTATTGATAAAACATAAAAATTGTTTTAATGGTATTCATTAATTGAACTGGAATACACAGGTCCCAATTCTGTGGAATACAAGTTACAGCTTATTACAGAGCGACGTTTCGACTAGAGTTCTTTATCAAGTAATGATCAAATATTAAATGTTTTTGTTGTTGTTTATTATAAATTTAATGTCCAATATATTTTGCATGATATTATTGACAGGTTGATTAATTAAGATTATTTACATGTGTTGGAGTAAAAAACAAAATCAACAAATGGACATTAAAAGAACTGATTAATGGATAAACTGTTGTGAAGTATGATTTGATCGTGTTTTTTTATGATCACAGCTTACCGAAAGAAAGAAAAGTTTAATTAATATCATTAGTGAAAGATATTGATACGGGTATATAGAGGAAACATGAATTACTGTAAAAACAAACAACATTGAAACACTGACCCCAATGAAGTCAATTAATCAATGAGTAGTGTTTTCGAACCTTGACAAAATGGTTCTAAAAGCGCATATTAATGTAATATCAATGTATATAAAGGGATTTATATTCAATTATGTTCGATGAAATACGTGAACGACAGTCGTTTACGCCTGCTAAGTCTATTCTACGCGTTTTTTATTATTATTTTGTCGTTAATTCCACAGTGTCTTGGAGGATATGTTTTTATTTGTTCATTACAAAATTGTACTCTAAATCCTAGAATACACGACTCGTACTGATTATAAGTGTAAATTGTGTCTTAAATATTGGACATTGGGATCCTATAGTTTCACGGCAAGACACACAACATTGATTGAAATTGATCAATATTCCAAGTCGTGTTTTTAATTTCAAATATTATGAAAAATATTTAGCTAGAGATTTAGCTCCTTTAAACCAGCTGCTCTATTTATTTCTTCGGGTTCAAATCATATCATGATCATCCAATTTTTTATCTAAAAGAAATAGGATCTTTCATTAAGCCCAAAAAAGGTCAGCATTGACCAAGTATTGTTTTTACGTGTATACATTTTATATTTTAACATTTGTTTGCGAAAGACTAGAGAAGCCTTGTAGAAACGTTGCTCAGTAATAAGCAGTGCCTTGTGTAAAACAGTAATCAGTTAATTATAAATAAAATGTTCAGTTTAATAAAATTAT